TGTCCTACTATAAAATAAAATAAAAAACATGCTAGTTAGTAGATTTGTGATTTAAGTTTACTAGTTAATTTAGTTTATTTGTTTAAAAGAAAAAAGATTTAATGGAATTCTAAAATGTTTTTGGTTGACTATTTGCATTTTTTTCCTATTTAATCTTAATCCTAATATTCGATTAATATCGAGGCGACTCTGATTTCTATTTACCGTGGGCCTCGTGAAGCTGTGATACAGATCCCTAATGATCTTGACTTGATATGCCCCTTAAGATATTCCTAGTTTAATTCGTTTCTCATTTCCTCAGATTTAAGATATACATTAGGTTGAATATTCTAGCATGGTGGCATTCACCACGTCCTTTCGGGGAAAGGATCTATTTCCCCATTGACTTTCGTGTCAATATTAGAAATTTCTAAGTCTTTACCCTTATCCTAGTCTTAGGATAAGAGTCGCCGCACTCCATATGACGTCCTCCCATGGACATTCGTTTATCTCACTTTCATCCTAGCCTTAGGATCAGGAGTCGCCGTACTCCATGTAAGTTCCCACCGAGGATACTTACCTACCTTTTCAACTTGAATTTAGACTTGGAGTCTCCGTACTCCACGTAACTTTCTCACTATGAACACTTACTTCCCCCTGAAACCTTGACCACAGTCAAGAGTTCGTCACTCTCGTTGAGGGAAACTACGAATTCTCTGATTCCATTCCCGTCAGGATACGTGGGCACGAGATGTGATGTCTTGGCGAGCATACTTAGGAATAACACCTCAGGTCTCCTTTCAACCCTTTAGCATATAGATAATAACAAATAACACAATATAAAACAAGAGGTTACTGTTGAGTACTACAGATGCTTAAGATGCTAACACCTTCCCTAGGTATAACCAACCCCCGAACCTTAGATCTCCCGCATTGTTTCACAGTGCAATTAAGGTTTTCATTCTTTACCCTTTCCTTTGGATAAATCAAAGTTTGGTGGTGAATTTAAAGATCTGCAATTCAAGTTGATCAATAACTTGACATCCAATTCTCACCGCAACACTCACTATAAGGCCCTTCGTCGTCTTCATTGAATTTGATATAAGCTATTCTTTTATTCTTATTTACGCTAACCTTTTCTTCTTTAAAACATTCTAACTATCAACTTCTATCAGCCAACTGGGCCATATCCCTCAGGTATTGAGTATTCAATTTCTTCCTGATGGAATAATATAGGCCACCAGCAGCCATTTCGACTAACTCATGTTCTGGTATTTGTGTGAAACACCTTACTTTGAGAAGTCAAAACCTATTCAAATAATCATCTATTGGCTCAATAAAATTTCATTTTATACTAGCCAATTCCTTCAAAATAATCTTTGTTTGTCCCATGTAGAATTGTTCATGGAATAAACGTTCTAACTGGGCCCAATTATGAGTCGAATTTGGAGGTAGGGTTGTGAACCAAGTGAAAGTGTTTTTTGTAAGAGAACTTGAAAAATACTTGACCCTAAGATTCTCATCATTCTAAATGTCTCCTGCTTCTATCAAATACCTAGCCACATGTTCGACAGTAGACTCAGTAGTATCCCCAGAAAACTTACTAAACTTAGGAACCTTTGTTCTTGGAGGTAAATCTGACTGAAGGATGTACTCAGATAACGATGATGTATAATTTGGTTGTCGAAGGCCAAAATTTACTTAGTCACGTGCCATGATTCTTTCGACCATGGCAGCCAAATTATTATATGCTGCTAGGTTATTACATCGAACTTGTTATACAATATTTTCAGCATCCTGGTTCCTATTTACCAAAATTACCCTTGGTGCTTCTTCTCTAGGAACTTGTGGTTGGTTCCTAGGGGCTTCAACTCTAGGTCGCTCGATCATTCCCTGGTTGTTTTAATTTGCCTGGGGTATATTTCCTGGATTTTGTTGAATTTGGTTAATGGTGGTGTCCTCGTCGAATACTACCCCTTGGTTTTCTATCATATACTCCCTCGGTGGTTGTCGAGGGGGATTTGGTACACCAAATAATTCTACAAGGCGCGTCATTTGTGATGATAATTGTTGATCACTTTGGGTAGTATTCTGAATAAGGGGCTGAAAAAATTACCTCATAGTTTGAGACATCATTTGAACCATTTGATGGCTACTTTCATCCATCTGTTGTCTCAAATAAGATGCAGAACTGGTTGTCAAACTTGGTATCTGGGCTGAATACCCTATTCCTAAATTTTGACTATCTCGACCCATATTTACCCCAGAGCCAGATCCCTGTAATGGCGAAGTCATTACAGGTTCTGTATATAATGGAAAAGCATTTTGTAAGTTTTCCATCATCGAAGTTGACATTCCATAGAGTCGGTCTCGAGACAAAGACATTGAAAACTCAGGGGGAGGGATGCCTCTGAATGTTGAAGCCTCTATCAGAGGTGGAGTCTGTGGAGGACCCCTTGACCCAATATAAGTCAGAATAGGTTGCCTATGGGTAATCGAATGTGTCGGTATCAAACTTCCCATAGATGGTATTGCTTCAGAGACAGGCGCTGAGACCGCTGGTCCTCCTGTCAAAGATCCAATGGGTTGTTCTATATTGTTTTTCGGCATATCCTGAGGAATATTTGGCTGGTTTGAATTTTCCGACATTCTCCTCCTATATTTCCTTCTTGTTCTATCTTCGTTAGCGGTGGCTACCTTACCACTTCTTAATAACATGCAACGAAGTTTTTTCAAAGAAAAAGTTGACCACATAACTAACAAACTTTTTTCAAAAAAATTTGAAGTAACTTTTATGATCACTTAGCACTGTCCCACTGGGCGTGCCAATTTGTTCGCCATGAAAATTGGCGAACAACCGCTGGTCTTACAAATCAAAAAAAGATTTGTTTTACTTGCAGGATCGACCATACAAATCCTAGGACATAAGCTAATTAATCTTAAATAAAGTTTATAAAAACTATGAACACTTTGACGGAGTTCATGTTAAAGCAACTTATCTCAAATGTAAATGAATTTAGGTAAAAAGAAGTAAAATCGAAGTACTGGTAAATGATGGAGACAAGAACTTGCAAAAAGAAAGAATAAATTGTTAAGGAAAAAGATTTATTAAATTGCATTGAAATGAAAAGCTGGTGTTACATCAACGTACATTCTTACAAACTCATTTCTCTCAATACACGGGTACTTGGAGTATACTGAAGAATTTGTACACAATTGAACACACACAAATCCTAACACTAAGACCTGCTATTTATACTAATTGAAAATAACTGCCATTAACGGCTAGCAAACGAAATCGAGACAAGTGTCGCTATGCATGCCTTCGAATTCTAGAAGCGCTCCACGTGTCTCCTTTAAGGAATGGATGAAAATAGACTTTCCCTCTGTTATTTGAATTCAAATATTCTTGTCGAAATACCCTTAGTGACATCTTTGTCGAATCGAATCTTCCAACTGCTGAGAAATATCTCTAAGTCCGTAACATAGATTCTCCTGGAAAAAGGACGCCTTCGACTCACATTCTAAAATATGGCTCCAGTCAAAATAATTAAATTTCTCCAGGAACTTTATTTCCTACTTTTAATCCCATTCAGGCGTTGAAATTAAGAGCCAACAAGTTGTTGTTGGTAGAAAGGATTAAAATCTTAGTTTTCTGATTAAGTAATTTGCATGTATTGGTTTTTGCCATTAATGAAGTATTATGTGGTTTGCTAATTTTGTTGTGTTAGGAAAATGGGTGTATGTTTGTGGTTAGGTGTATTAGACGTTTGAAGATTATGCTTGTTCTTGTGGGTCAACTAGCAATTTATGTTCAAAGAGATATCTAATTGTAATTGATATAAATCATGTCATGTATTCACGACTTGCTTTACATTCAGTTGACATGACATAGTTGATAATGACAAAGTTGTGGAGGTTCCTCCATTGATGACACTTTGCTTGGCTGAAGTCTTTTCAGTTGGCAAATGTCAATTAATCGTACACTTGATTTTTGTGTTTATCTTTGAAGCACCTTGGCGGATCTGGATATTTTGATCCATGTCAAAAGGTAGTATAACTCTATTACTATCTGTATTCCCACTATAATGAAACTAATAATCGGTGTTGTTGAAGTCCAAATGATTGTATCGTCTTCAACCCTTAAATATGTGAATATGTGTGCTTGTAGTTATGAAGTCTACAATAATTTGTTGATTTAGTTTTGATGTTGACAACACTCTTAAGAGAATAATATAGTGATTGATATGATCAAGTGATTATGTTTGATATCATGAGCAAGTGATGATGCTTGAAGATCAAGATACGTTGATCAAGATGTGTTGATCAAGATGAAGCCTGAAGGTCATTTGATGCAGTGATCAAGTGGACATGCTTGAATATCAAGTTGTGTTGATTAAGTTATAGAGATAGCTTTCCAACTCTCTAATGGTAATTAACTTGAAGATGTCTCAAGCTTAATCAAATAGAAGATTCAAGGTTCCCATAAAATACTTATATTATTGATTTATCTGACAAAAAACCTTAAAGCTTTAGAGTTGTGAAAGAGAGAAAATATAAAAGTTTCTCTGATTGTGTCTATCTGAGTGATAAGAGTATTGAAAATATCTATACCTTTTTTTTATAATCCGTAAAGATTTAGTATTTTGCCACACAAAAAAAAAAAACACATGTTTGAGATTTGCCTAAATATCTTAGCCTTGTTCCAAATAATTGCTCCATTTTAAATAAATGGCTTAACTATTTCATTTAGAATGCTGAATTGCAAATTAGAACAAAAAAAATATGAAATGCACTAACTATTTAATATTCATCAAATAGGGACAATCAAAGGTAAAATCACTCCATGAACAAAATTGAGTAACTTCAACATGATCACATTTCTGTATACATTTATAGAAATGAACTGTGCGTGACATTATTTTGCCTGTCTAATGTAAACTATATGTAACACCTTAAACTATACAAAATTTTCTTCATATATATTACTATATCCATCAATTTCCTAACCATAAAAACAACTAAACAATGTGTCCATGATCACTTGAATCTCCAACATTGGACTTAGATATCAGAATAAGCATAGCCAAAACTTGTTTCATATTTGGCCTACCATTTGGTGTCTCATTTGTACACTTCAAACCAATACATAGCAATTCAACCATTTCCTCTGAACCCAAATAACTCAACACATGATGATATTGTTGTTGTTTTCTTCCCATCATAACACGCCTCGTCCATTCGACCAAACACTCTTCACCTCCATCCACTGCTTTTCTACCTGTAGCCAATTCCATAACCAACACACCATAACTATAAACATCACCTTTTGTAGTAGCTTTCATTGTTTGTCCATATTCAGGTGCAACATATCCAACGGTTCCGGCTACCATTGTACTCACATGACTATCACCAACATTAACAACTCTAGCTAGTCCAAAATCTGTTACTTTTGCTTTTCCTTCTTTGTCAAGCAACACATTACTAGCTTTCACATCTCTATGAACAATTGAAGGGTCACATTCGTGGTGTAAGTAGACAAGCGCGCGAGCCACATCGATGGCTATTTGCAGTCTTTTCTTCCATGTCAAACGTGTTTTATCGGTTACTAGATCTTCTAAGCTTCCGCCTTCTATGTACTCATAAACAAGTATCTTTTCTGAATTGTTTAGACACCAACCGTAGAGTGTGACGAGATTTGGGTGAGGCCAACCGAAACCATGGCCGCTTAGAACTTCCATTTCAGCTTGGAATTCCTTTTCGCCTTCGCGTCCTTCGCTTAGAAGCTTCTTCACTGCTACTTCTCTACCATCTGCGAAAAATCCTTTGTATACTGTTCCAAATCCACCTTTTCCTATGATTCTGCTTTCTGAAAAAGTGTTTGTTGCTTTCAAAATGTCTGCATAGGTGAAAGCTGTCTTGTTTAAGCGAATCACTTTTACCGAATCAGATAACCATTGTGAAGATTCTATTCCTGAACTGCTTGAGTCATTGCAATGTTTTGCATGTTCCCTCAAGAGATATTGATCTGAAGGGGATTTGACTAATGCACAGACAATTATTGTCAGAAAACTAAATATGATAAAAACAAGTGTTATGGTTAAAAACACCAAAAACACAGTCAATTTTGTAGGCTTTTTATGGTCTTTGTTGCGAGTCATGTTTTTATCGTTTCTCGCGGTACTGTTGTCGATGAACTGGGGAAGGATCAAAAGAGGGTCACCAAAATATGAATCTTTACCAAAAGTAACAAATTGTCCACTTGATGAAACCACACCTTGTATGAAGGGATTGTATGAGATGTTGAACCTGTTAAGCTCAGCCACTTTGTTCAAACTTGATGGAAAATTGCCCGAGAAGTTGTTTCGAGACAAATCAAGATTTTGCAAGCAAATAAAGTTTCCGATTTCCGTCGGAATTTCACCTGAAAAATTGTTTGTAGTCAAGTTCAAGACCACAAGTGGAATATTTCCCAACTCTGGTGGAAGTTTTCCAGAGAAACTGTTGAATCCCAAATGCAACAAACTGAAATTCACCATAGTTCCAATCTCTGAAGGAATTTCACCACTTAGTTTGTTTCCACTTAACTGAACATAACCAGATATCAAAGGTAATCTTAGGGAAGACCCTGGTGTGCAAAATGGGAAAATTCCATACCCTTTCAGCAATTTATTCCAAAGTCCTCTACAATTTTTTCTTGTTAAAATATCATACACAAAGCTGAATGGAGGGTAATCTGCAGGAATCCATCTCTTCATTGCTAAACATTCACCAGAGCCAGCAATCATTCCGTCTCTCCGCCTATTAAATTCAAATGTCTCCGTCGCATTCTTTCCAATTTTGGAAAGCTCGCGAGGAAACTTTCCAGTGAGGTTATTGTTAGCAAGGTTTAACCATAACAGACTAGTACAGTTCCCTAACTCCGAAGGGATTGTTCCGTTTAACGAATTGTCTGCAAGCATCAACCACAAGAGTGATCTCAAGTTTCCAAGGCTTGGAGGAATCGGTCCACTCAACCGGTTGAAAGCAAGATCAAGTGCTTGTAAATTATGCATATCTCCAAATTCTGATGGAATAGTTCCACTGAATTGGTTATATGATAACATCAAAAGTTCTAGACTTTGCATATGAGAGATTTCAACAGGTAATGGACCTGAAAACTTGTTGAAGCTAAGGTCTAACCGTGTAATATTCGGCAATGTGAAAATTCCAGATGATAACAATCCTCCAGTGTATGAGTTGGAGTGTAACAGAAGAAACCTAACCTGCTTAAAATTTCCAAATATCTTCTGTATGTCACCACCAAAATTGTTTCTGCTCAAATCCAAGAAAACTAAGTTACTCAATTTCAAAAGTGTCTCAGGAATATCTCTTGAAAAGTTGTTTCCTCCCAAGTACAATCCTTTAAGCAGTGAAATGGATCCAATTTCAACAGGGATGGCTCCGGTAAATTTGTTGGTCGAAAGATTCAACATGGTTAAATTCTTGCAGTTAGAAATTTCCTTTGGTGCCTTCCCAGAAAACCTATTCTGAGAAAGGTCTAATTCCACAAGCTCGCAATTCAACGGAAACGCTTGAGACAAAACGTTTCCATAGAAAAGATTCTCAGCAACAGAAAACTGCCTCAACCTTGCAAATCCATTCCATATACCTCCACTGAGCATATTAGTACTCAAATCCAAGTACTTCAAACTCAAACATTGATCAAAACTGTCACCAATCTCACCAGTTAAGTTATTTCCTGAGATATTCAAAGTCACTATATTTTCACAAATGGAAGGAAAATCCAACAGCCCAATGTCTCCATGAAATCTATTCAAAGACAAATCAAGTGTCTCCAAATTTGTGAATCCAGTAACATTCAATTCTCCCTCAAGAATATTATGAGAGAGATTGAGATGCAACAGTTTGCGACAGTTTCTCAAATCATCCAGAAAATTTCCAGAGAGTGTATTCTGCGAGAGGTCAAGATGTGTTAACTCAGTCAGCTGGGAAAAGCTTTGAAATATCTCTCCAGTGATGTCACTATTAGAAAGATCAATTGAAATCACTCTCTTTTCTTGGCTACACAAAATTCCCTGCCATTCACATGGATTAGAATGGGAGCTATCGTTATTCCAATATATGTACTTTCCTTGGTCTGCAAGAGTTTTGTTGTCTAGATACTTTTTCAACTTCAACAGAATCTGTTTGTCCGTGTCTAAAGAAAAAGAATCTCCAACAACAACACTACCTAGTAAATTAAAATAGAACAAACAATTATAACATAATCACAACATTAACAACGTCGGGAAAAAAAAAGATGATTATTTATATTGAGGAACTACCTGAAAGAAGGATGAAGGAAAATAGTAAAAATAGATAGGAAGAGGAATGTGTTTCCTGCAACTCTGACATTTACGTTGTTGTTTGGTTGGTTACTCTGGATCCTGTTGTTTTTTGTTTATTGAGCAAAGCACATGTATGTTAAGAATAAAATAAGAATGATGGAGCAAGAGCATGAGGGAGTTGAATTGATTGAAATGTGCAGACAAAATTGAACTTTGAATTGTAACAAGATGCTACCTACTTTTTTTTGGTTGAAATGAATATATAATGTAGTAAATATTTATTCCATAGATTAATTAATATTATAATAAAAATGGTTTTGTTAGTTGACAAATGTGAAATGAGTTGCAATTTTATACTTTTGGGGCAGGGAATGGAATAAAGAAAGAAGCTTCAAGAGGATTTAGATAGAGGTGAGCGGTCGAGCCGCCCTTGTTGACCGGTTTGGTTGGTTCGACCGGGTTTAGGTTTTGACCCAAGATGGACGGTGTGTAATAACGCGGACACGGTTTGTTAGTTCTAGATATGAAAATAATAGCGCGCCGTTTTCTCAGTTCAGCAATAAAAAGGTTTTAGTGTGAGTGAGTTTCGTGGAAGATGTGATTTTGTCAGTGAGGGAACAAGAGAGTATGTTGTTCATCGTGTGCGTGTGATCCAATTAGGGAATCGTTGCTTTTTGAACTGTGATAAAGAAAATGGTTTTTTTCAAACTATCATGTTTTTAAGAGGTTTTATTGAAGTTCAGATTTGACAATGTGGATTTGGTTGAACGAAGACCATTCTTAATCAAATTCAAAAGTACTGCCTTGATGATGGAAAGCGACAATAAACTTGCCGGCCTCTGTCATTGCTTTGCGGCAATATATATATATATATATATATATATATATATATATATATATATATATATATATATATATATATATATATATATATATATATATATATATATATATATATATATATATATATATATATATATATATATATATATATATATATATATATATATATATATATATATATATATATATATATACTAATTATAAAAAAAAAAGGTTACTTTTTAATATTATTGAATAATCCAATAATACCAAAATTAAAAAAATTGTTAGGAAAGGAAGAAAAAACTTTCATTATTATAAGGAGTAATTTTATAAAAATTATTTAAAATCTTACAAAAAGAAATCTTTCTAAAAAAAATTACGATAAGAAACATTACAAAAATACAATAATAAACCTAAATCTAAAGATAAAAATGTATTATAAGCGTATGTTATAAGTGTGGTCGTTTTGACCATTATGCAAATAAATGTTAAGTTCAAGAAAAAATTAATCAAATTAGTAACTTAGACATTTTAGAAGAGTTAAAAGAAAGTTTAATAAGTACTTTAAATAACATCTTATTAAACTTAGAAGAAGAAGTCTCTTCATCTTCTGAAGAATCCTTTTACGAAGAAATACATCAAATTAATAATTCTGAAAATCAGATTCGGTCCAATGAATATTTAGGGTTAGATTTCAGCAATTGTAACAATTGTAACAAAAAATTTAATGTTTTTACAAATAATCAAGCTAATACTTTAATAGAAATATTAGACAAAATGAAAGACTTAAAAAGTAAGAAGCTTTCACAAAATAAATTTTATAAAATTATAAATATAAACGATATTCATAAATTAGAATTTAAAGATGTTATCAATTTGTTTATGAAACCAGTTGAAAATATTATTTCTATTAAAAATTTACAAAAATAAATTAACAAGAGGATGATAATGGGTATGGAAGTGAATACATTATAAAATAATATTATTAAACTTGTATCTTAAAATATAATTTGTAATGTAGTTAAAGCGGGACTTATTAAAGACATATTGAACATAAACATTTTTCTTATTGAATAAGGTATATTTACAAGAGTTAAAATGCTGAATGGCTCAACTTTTGAATGGTCCTTGGTTAATAAAATGATCCTCATTTATAGAAGAAAATTACTCACTTCTTCATCAAGAAAACTAAATTCATCCTAAAATTATATCTAGACAAGTGACCGACAAGGCCTGATAATTAGACCCAAAACCAAAAAATTCAAAGATAAAGATGACTCACATGGCCTTTTATGATTACAATAAGACAAACAAAATAAAGTTACATAACACGTAGTCTTTTATGTTGATAATGACGAATCTTATATTAAAAAAAGTAATTGATCCTATATAATAATTGTGAGATGTTGGATCGAACTCTAGTGTGGTTGAAGTTTGTTCGCGAGTAATGCGTGTTATAGTCGAAGTTTGTTCTAACATGCATTAGTCAATATTGCTAAGGTTGTTAGCATGTTGAATTGGGCCTTGCTTGTAAGCCCAATTGTTTAAGTTAGTTTGTACCCTAAGTTAGCTTGTAATGGGTAATTGTTAAAAAAACTCATTAGGTTAGTGTACTGTTTTTCTTATAAATAGGATGCTAGTTTCTCAATCTTGTCATAAGAAAAAATAGGAAGATAAAATTCTAATTTGAAGAGAGAAAGATTATTTTGTTATTCTTGTATATTTGTAATCTTGTTCTAAGAGAAAGCAAAGAATAACAGTTTAATAACCAATCTTTGTTGTTCCTTGTTGTTTTACCTTGTCTTCTTGATTAACCATAACCCTTGTGTGTTTCTTGATCATTAAGAAATCGTTTATACTTTGTCTCAAGGTATCCGATTCACAATAAATTGGTGCGGTGAGCGTGGAGAATATGCCTTCAACAAAGTATGAGATTGAAAAGTTCACCGGAGTGAACGACTTCGGTATGTGGCGCTTGAAGATGAAAGCCTTACTGGTTCAACAGGGTTGTTTGGAAGCGTTGAAGGGTAAGGCAGCCATGGACGTTGCGTTAACGGAAAAAGAAAAGACGGGCATGATCGAGAAAGCCCACAACGCAATATTGTTGAGCCTTAGTGATAAGGTTCTTCGACATGTATCAAAGGAGACTGCAACATCGGGATTATGGGTGAAACTTGAAAGTTTGTACATGACCAAATCTCTGGTGAATCGACTCTACCTGAAGCAAGCTTTGTATTCATTCAAGATGAGTAAAGACAAAATGTTGGCTGAGCAGTTGGATATGTTCAACAAGCTGATTCTTGATCTTGAAAATATTGATGTGAAGATCTATGGTGAAGATCAAACACTGTTGCTGTTGTGTGCTTTGCCCAGAACACATGCTCACTTCAAAGAAACTCTCTTGTATGGAAGGGAGCCGTTGACCTTTGAAGAAGTTCAATCAACCTTGTATTTTAAGGACTTGAACGAACGAAAGGAGCATAAACTTTCAACGGTGGGCGAAGGTTTGGCCGTTAAGGGAAAATTCATGCGAAAGGATGGTAAGTTCGACAAAAAGAAAGGTAAAAGTCAACAGAAGTTTTATAGTGGTGAAACATCTGGTATTCGATGTTATCACTGTAAGAAGGAGGGTCACATAAAAAAAGTGTACCCTAAACGCCTGAAAGATCATGGAGGTAATGGAAACACAGCCATTGTTCAAGATATAGTTTTCAATGAAGCAGAGGTGGCTTTCAAGAAAACTAATGATGCTGACGAAGAGCTGGAACAGGGAGAGATTCCTATTGAGGTGGAGCATGTTGATGCTGAATTGCGTACCCCAGATGAAGTCGAAGAAGATGCAGAAGATGTTGTCGAAGATGAGGAGACTGATAATGACTACCTGCTAGCAAGAGACAGGTCGAGGAGAGTCATCTATCCACCTCAGAGACTTGGGTATGCAGATCTTATAGCTTATGCCTTAATCTCTGCTAGTGAGGTTCTAGATGAAGAACCTAAAGACTATAAGGAAGTTATAAGGAGTCAAAAGAAGATTGAATGGTTGAAGGTCATGGATAATGAGATGAAATCTCTTCATGATAACAACACTTGAGAGCTGATCAAGAAACTTGTTGGAGCCAAGTTAGTCACCTGTAAATGGATTTTCAAAATTAAGGAAGGAATCAAAGGAGTGGCGTCGAAGAGATACAAGGCAAGATTGGTTGCTAGGGGGTTCACTCAGAAAGAAGGTATCGACTTCAATGATGTGTTCTCTCCTGTTGTAAAGCACAGAACCATTCGAATGTTGCTTGCCACAGTGGCACAGTTTGACCTTGAACTGGAACAGATGGATGTGAAGATTGCGTTATTGTATGGTGACTTAGATAAAACAATCCTGATGAGGCAATCTGAAGGGTATGTTGAAAAAGGGAAGGAAGATTATGTGTGCAAGATGAATAGATCCTTATATGGACTAAAATAATCCCCTCGACAGTGGAATAGGAGATTCGATAAGTTCATGGCACGCATAAGTTTCATCAGAAGTCAGTTCGACCACTGTGTTTACTTCAGATTTCGACTGGGTAACTCATTTGTTATTTTGTTGCTCTATGTGGATGATATTCTAATAGCAAGCAACAATGTCGAAGATGTAATGAGGGTGAAGGTTGAACTCAATAAAGAGTTCGACATGAAGGATCTGGGAGTTGCGTCCAGGATTATTGGGATTGACATTCAGAGAGACAAAAAGCAGTCGAAATTACGCTTATCTCAAGAGGCATACCTACAGAAGATTCTCGAAAAGTTTGGTATGTCAAATTCAAAGCCTGTTGTGACTTCGACAAACCCTCAATTCAAGCTGAGTATAGATCAGTTTCCCAACACTGATGTTGAAAGAACTTATATGAATAGCATTCCATATGCTAACATAGTAGGTTCTTTGATGTATGCTATGATTTGTACTACACCCGACATAACATATGCAGTAAGTCTTGTAAGCAAGTACATGGAGAATCCTGGAAAGACTCACTGACAAGCATTGAAGTGGATTTTAAGGTACATAAATGGGTCTCTGAATAGAGTCCTAATTTATGGTGGAGCCTTGGGTGAAGATAGTAAAGCAGCAATCGAAGGATATGTCGACTCTGATTATGCAGGTTGTATGGATTCCAGAAAATCTATCTTTGGATATGTGTTCACTATGTTTGGAACAACAATCGGTTGGAAAGCAACACTTCAGAAGGTCGTTGCCTTATCAACCATTGA